AGGGCTATAAGTATTAAGGCTAGAAGTTCTCATTCATACAGTATATACAAGTAATACAGAAGTAACTATAAATATAAGAAGTAAATAAATAATACTTATAAAAAAAAGAAGAAAAAAAAAAGTAATCAATAGGAAAAAAAAATAAATAAATAAATAAAATTAAAAAAAAAAATAAATAAACAAACAAAATAAAATAACAACTTCTAAACACATTCATACCTATATACAATATATACATTCGCCCAGGAATCTCCGAGCCAGGCTTTTCTCCCCACATGTGGAAAGCAAAGCAGGACTCCAGAGATCCCAGTGCCACTTTTCCAGCCGCATCACTAGTATTAAAAGCCAGTGGAGGCTGAAGGAGGGCACTAGAGCCACAGATGCTCAGGACTTGAGTGGAGAAGCTGGCCATTGCCAGGACTCCAGAAGCATATTTACAATAGATCTCGCGGCCACTGCCGTTTTAACCTTCGAGGGGGATTGTAGGGATGGTGGGAGCTGGATAGGGATTGAGCTAGAGGATTTGGATGATGGATAAGGTTCTGGTGAAAGTTTGAGAATCTGGATGGGATGATGTCGAGGACAAATGGGATGTTAAGGTCATGGTGTAGGGTCTTATTTGTGACATAATATGGGGCATTGACTATTGTTCTAAGTACTTTGGACTGGAAGGATTGGATGCGTTTGATATTCGAATGTTTAGCAGTTCCCCACAGTTCAAGTCCGTAGGTCCAGATAGGTTTCAGTATTGTCTTGTAGATTAAAAGTTTATTTTCAATCGAAAGATGAGATGTCCTGCTTAGTAGTCTATATAGCTGGCCATATCGTTGGTTAAGTTCTTGTCTTTTAAGTCTTGTATGTGGGTTCCAAGTTAGTCTTTTGTCTAGAAGGAAGCCAAGGTAACGGACTGTATCTGAGTAGGGAAGTGGTATTGAATTGAAAAGGATTGTGGGACAGGATCTGCGTCGCAGGGTGAAAGTAATATGTTTGCATTTTGCTTCATTGATTTTGATGCGCCAGTTGTTGCACCACTGTTCAATCAAGGAGAGGTGAGATTGTAGGTTTAGAGATGCTATTTGCGGATCTGAGTGGGAAGATAGAATGGCAGTATCATCAGCAAATGTAGCTAGGAAGGTATCGGGATTTGAAGGGATATCGGCAGTGAAAAGGATGTAGAGAACTGGACCCAAAACACTGCCTTGTGGAACACCAGCCTCAACTGGATAGTAAGTGGAGAATTCGGTGCAGCAACGGACTTGGAAGGAACGATTTGAGAGATAGGATTTGAGGACTAGGTATAAGGATTGGGGTAAATGGGTTTTGAGATGAAAATATCTAGAAAATATTCCTGTGTTAAGTCCTGCCTTAAGATAACCATGGAAAGATTCCTTATTCAACTTTTTATTATTCTCCTCTTTATATTCCATTGAATTATTCATTTCAAGCACAATAATTCTGTTTAGACATTCTTGTAATTTTCCATGTCAACAGATGTACAAGGTCCGCATTGGTTGTTTTATAGTTTATAAAATGAAGTATGCAATGAAGTATGCATGAAGTATGAAGTATGCATGAAGTATGAAGTATGAAGTATGCATGAAGTATGAAGTATGCAGTATGCAATGAAGCTGTTGATATCATCAGTCTTCTTTTTTTTCAATATAAATATTGTAATCTTTATAAGAGATTATTCTGAACATAGTAGTAAAATGGATCGAAGAAAAGTACAAATATTCGTTACTGCGGGTAGAATATGCCTATGAAATGTCATAATGTAATGTGATTTTTAAGTTACTATATAGTTCGAAATTGAATTCCTTCCTTTCCTTAATTTTAAAGTGTTTTTGAAATCTATGAGGGTTTAAACTGATTTTTAATTTTCCACAAATACGAGTTTTCAAAAAACCAATGAAAACCCAGGGCGTTTGAGAATCACCAACCATTGTCGTGTAACTGTTAACCCCGTATGTTTTCGATAAATGAAGTATGGGACCAGCTTAGATTAAAACCTTTAGGGATCTATAAGAAAAGCTCTGGCACCCTTTCAGTCTCAGTAAGTAGAGGACCTACTTTATCCAATTTAAGAACTTCTCTCCCTGAGAAAACAAAATGACTTAGAGCACGATCGGATTAAATGGCGTTAAGAAGATTTTATTTTCTATTAGTAAAAGGGAGCCAAGGTGTGTTTAGGAGTTTGTTCTTGCTCATCGTAAAATCAGTCATCTTTTACGATTTGTTATTTTAATGAGAACAGTAAAGAAAAATACCTAAAGAAAAATTGGATGATTTGTAAGATGCTATTAAAAATAATATTATAAATGAAATACAAATGAAATTTTAGCCATTGCGAAGCACCTTTTAATAAAATAAACTTTCTCAGGAATAAGCGGTTGTTGTAAAGCCGATGTTCATAAAATAAATGAAAGATCTTTCTCAAAATACTCAACAATTATAATTGCATTAAGTGTCTTTATACCGTTAAAAGCTATGGAACAATTTTTAAAATAAACTGAGCGAACGAATCTTTACACTATAAGTAACTAAATACTTCCAGTCTTATACATTTATGTTTGTCAACATACAGAAAAACTCTTTGCATCTATTCATGTAAACATAGAGAAACTAAATGTAATCGTCAGAAGATTCCTTAGTTTCGTTCTGGTGTTGAAACCATCCAACAATCCAAAGATTTGCAAGTTTACTCTGTCCCTAGGATAGATAGGCTGTTTCCTTACTCTTTTTTAGAAATTAGATTACTTATCTTTAAATTTTTCTCGTAGTCAAGAGCGTAACCAGAGAAGGACAGATATTTAAAAAGAAAGAAACAATTAATTTAAGGTTTGGATAATTAATTTTTATTTCGTTTTTAATTTCTTTTAGAATGTTTAAATAAACATTTGAACAAAATAATCTGTTTTTTTAATCATTTTTTCATTTTAAATACAGTCTATCTTGTTATCTCTCCTCTGGATACGACAATGATCGTATTTGGAAGAGAAGTTTGATTTTGATAAGGATTCATCTGAGTATTGTAGTATAGAAAATCTAAAAATGAAAAATAGCAGCATCCGCCTTAGTGTGTTTCTTACAAAATCCGATATAACGACTCAAAACCAAATACACTGACTACCTATTTATGCTTTTAGCTTTATTTATGCTTTTGACTTGGATATGCCAACAGACTTATACAATATATGACTGTATCAAATAAGCCCAATCAACACGAAAATGTGACAAAAATCATGTGAGAGATCTGTCAAATATAATGGAAATCAAGTTTACATTTCTGATAAGACATGTAACCATATTTTCACCGAATTAGTTGATAATATAAATATTTTGCTGTGACAGATTCAAATTAAAAATACAAAATAATTCTATAAAACTTAGTATAATTTGAAAATAGTAAACTTTTCTCGACAGATAAATTCTTATTGAATAATAATTTTATATAACTAACTACTTATGTTAACAAATTCGACTACGCTAACGAGCCAAGGACAAACTCAAATAATAGTCCAATCATGTGTCGATTAAAAGGTAGCATTGCCTAACACAAACCGGGTGGACTTGAACAGTTCCGAGAATAGGTGACCTTGTTTCATTTTAATCTTTGAACATTATTACTAATATTTATTGATATATTTTATTATTAATACAATTTGCAATATATTTTGTGAATTCATAAAAAAAAAAATTGTTATATTTCGCTTAAACGGTTATCCATTGCTTTCTACAACGAAGTTGATTTAAGCCGTCGGTTACACGTTTCCCAACAGAGAAAGATATGACCTGTATAACTCACACGCTCCAAAGAAATATGAGCGACCACAGAATGGTGCAGTAACCAGTATTTTGGTGGCAACTTACAACCAGTACAAGAAACGGTGATATTTCTTTATCCCGTTTCGAAGGTAAACAAATACAAATATGTTTTTTTTTCAGTCTAAATCTGAAAAAAATTAACTATAATTATTAACTTTTTTTAAATGTTTTTCTTTAACATCGTTTCAACTGTTTTTGCTTATTAGTTGGTTTAAAATTAGATGGATTATTTTTTATCATGAGATTCATTAAGGATGTTTCTTGAGTTTTAATATTTTCGACTATAGGAAAATTTCCAAACATTTTACACCTTGGTTGATGAAGCTTAACAAGAGATTTGTCAGATTTTATTTTTTTTTTGGCAGTCGAGTACTCTTTGATCAGACAGAGGTGATTAAGTGGAGACTTAACTCCACTCTTTACTTTAAATTGTCTTAGCCTTACTCGCATTCGCTTTGTCACACTCCATTCAGGAGTTTTTTTCTATGTTTGTGTTCCTTCATTGCACTTTTGGTTGAATCTTATGCCTGTGAGTGTCAGGTAATTTTAATATATGCGATGTTGTAATTAGTAAAATCATGTTTGTCGATATAGAAGCAATTAGATCGAATTTTCATTCTGTTAATTATTCCTAATTTTGGTGTTTTGAGGTTTTCATTTTTATCTTAACAAACACTAGGGCCATTTTCAAATCGGGAAATTTTTGTCATTATGGGATTACAATTTAATTACATTTACAATTGAAATATAAATTTTCTTTAACATCATCATCATTTTAATCTACCGATTTTTGCATAAATATATGCATTATATCAATTACTATACTTTTAAAATTGCATATTATGTATGTAATCTTTACACATTTATATAAATTTCATTGTTACTTTAATTGAGTCCTCCAACTAAATATTCATATTCAATATAATTTGTCTTAGTCTTAGAAGAATTAAATTGTTCTAATATTTTAGGATTTCCCCTTCGTCGTCTATGGAGGATATGACTTATGTCCTCCTGATGGAAATTGTTCGTATTTATTGTAGAATGGATGCTCTAAAATCGGAAATCTGATATTATCTCGGGACTCAAAGCTGCTATAACACGAGCATAGCCGTTAGCGAAAGAGACAGACAGTTTAATAAACCATATTGAGCAGACTGAAGGAGGTCAGTGAAGACATGGATGGCTGTCAGAGGAGTTCCGATATTGAGGAAGGTGCTCGCCGTGAAATCGACACACATCTCCAACACCGATTTACACATTTCCGACACTTATCAGCCTTCAATCCATTCGATACAGCCGTAAACGGCGTTTTCTCCTCCGAGCGACACCCATCCTATGACCTCACGGCACAGAATCCTCCCGGGTCAGCTTCGTTTCCTCCTCGAGGAATGCATCACGACCTTGGTCCTTCAAAAGGTTTTATTGCAGATCGACGTCTTCTCTTTTTATCGGCCTATCGAAGGTCAAATTAAATCTTCCTCTGGATTTTTACCACACTGATGGAGATTATGGAATCATTCCGTAACTTTTTTATCTTATAATCATTTTTCATCAATCTCTTTTTCTGAGTAATTGCATATGCTACTGAAATTGATAATAGATTAGAATCTGGTTAGAATTATATCAACCTATGGAAATTTAATTTATATTACGGTTAAATTATAATTGTATCTAAGGAAGTGTAAAAATACTTTATACATTCGTATTGATATGGGAGGTTACCGATGTCAACCTAAGTTTTTGAAGTGAAAACTTCTTTAGCTGTGTTTATGAACTTTTTTTTTGTGTGTGTAGAGTGAATTATATTGACCCGTCAGATCTCCGATGTGTAACTCTGATTTTCAAGAAGAGAATTAATTAGAGACTGCAGTCGACTAATTGAAATATTTTTCCATATGGATTAAAATTTCTCTAACGCCACCGAGAGAAACGAAAAGACAACTAATAATGTCGAAAACCAAATGGTAACGAGTTTTATTGAAGATATCGATTAAAATATCTCCGAAACTAAAAATCCGATCTGCATATTGTAAGCGAGGAAAATGTTCAGCATTCCAACTTCTCTGTAATGGACTATTATTCAAAATTGTATCTTAACGGAATGCCGTGTTATTGGAGCTGAAAAGAAAAAAAAATTGTCAAAAACCAAATGATAACTAGTTTTATTGAAGATATGGATTAAAATATCTCAGAAACTAAAAAATCTGACCTGAATATTGTAAGCAAGAAAAATGTCCAGCATTTTATTCTCTTTCTAATGAGTTATTATTTATAATTCATATTACTAATCTCGATTTTTTGTTGTTTTTACTTTAATAGTGTAGTTTATAGCATACGTCTTAGTTGTAGTTTTTTTTTATGATACTACATCGAAAAGTATTAGACATATACACCGAGGTTTGTTCCAATGGGCCTTATTTTTGCTTTTCCTCAGCTGGAATATCAATTTTTCTTTAAAAAAATATTTATCCCCACATTGCTGCGTCGCTCGGTCCATTTTACCCATATCTAGGATGAATAAAATATTGAAACGATTCGCTCATTTTAAATTTTCCCGTAATCTCTAACTGAATTCCTGTGTAACATTTTTTTAAAAAGCTATCATTCGTATAATTAATATGTAAGCGTAAGTGTAATGGATATATTTTTTTCTCACACTGCAATATTTCAGTGCCTCTGTAAGTATGGTGAAAAATACTCATTAGAAGTTTTATCAAAAAAAAAAAAATAAAAAAAACTGCACCACTACAACCCATGAAGGGTATTAGGTTTAGTACTATTTAGGGAAAGCACTTTTTCTTGGTCTACGGTTGCAAGGAGGTGACTTGACCGAGATCACGCTCAACCATCAGGCTTTTCCCCATAACTAATTATTTTAATTAAGGGTACCACTTTATAGAGGCTGGGTGTGCCCCAGGAGGGTCTACCTACCCAGGATCACTCCACGGCCAATGAAACAGTGTAAATAATATTTCTACTATCGGGATTCGAACCTGGGACCTTAAGCATTGGAACCTCGGTACCCTACGACTGAGCTACCCCACTCCCGAAGAAGTTTTATCAGAAGTTACATTAAAATAAAACTAGTAATTCGAATGTTCGATAATCACCACAGTCCATGCCAAGCATGTCCCATTTGAGCTACTTTTCCGTCAGTCTTAAATCCTTTGATCTTTATTAACTGCATTTTATGAAATATACTCAAGGTAGTAGATACTCATCGCCATAATGCTGAATAATGGACTAGTTTTTTTTTTTCAATTTATTCTTCTGCATTATTTATAGATCAAGCAGTAGATATCCTTAGAAAACTATAAAAGTTTAATAAATGCAAAGATACTGCTATCAAATAGTTTATAGCATTATCTTTTTATGTTTTCTTCCAAGTGTTCTATTTTTCCAACCATTCAGTTATCTTTAACGATGATTCCGTGCACTCATTTACTGCAGCTTTTGTTACTTCCACAACCACAATAACTACGTATATATTTTCATTAGTTATCGTAACAATTCTTTTCGATGCAATATCATTTTGTAACTCATTTTATTTCAGAGAATCTGATGTTTTATATTTAATGTCAGTGAAAGCTCTGTTTAAAATGATTTTTTACTACACCACTGTTAAGGTTGTTTACTACATTTTTTAGATTTTTTTTTTTATTGCTATGGTCAAGTATTTAACTGGAACTACGAATAATAATTAGAACTCATCAATAGTATTAAATAACAATATTTGTTACTTTATTATCAATATTGTATTCAAGGCATCTCATCTCATCATTAGTCATTAAAAATATTTAACACAATAAAAAATTAAAATATGATTTATCCATATTATTTTTTAATTTAAATTATTTACGAAACAATTTTAGTTGCTCAAGAACCCGAGTTCGAATCCAATGATGTCAAGTAATTTTTCATTAATCAGCCCTGGATCTATCCTGTGGTTGAGAGACCTTCATGTGGCACACCCTGCCTCTATAAACTTGCTACTCTTAATTCAATAATTAATTAAGGGTGAAAACATGGCGGTTGGAAGTGACATTGGCCCGATATCCTCCCTGCACAACTGTTGGCCTTGAAACAGTACTTGCTAACAAAGTACAGAACCCAAAACCCTTCCTGAATTATAGTGTTACAAGTTTTTTTTTATCTACAAAACGAAAGTCCTCTAATGATTTTATATATATATATATATAAACACATATATATAGGTACCCGTCCTACCTAGGTGGATTGCCTGACCCACATCTTAAGATATTTTATTCCTCTTCTCTTCTTATAAACAATGCAAACTAAAGTAAAATTTTAAAAATAAGAGGTCATATACAATTACACTTTCAGTGGTCTGTTCTATGTTTTTCTCTTGTTCTCTGATTTGAAACTTCTCACTCCGATCATTCAAAACACCGTCAAAATGTGCATCCCTCAAAAATGTTGATGAAATTTTTACATCAAATTCCCTTGTGGGCACCCCACCCCTGTATACATATTAAGTTTTTGAGGTACATTTCGACGGAGCTATAAGTTTTCGGAATTTTTGAACAAAAAACACAGCTTTTGTGGTATAAATCACCTCAAGGTGATCACATCATTGCTAACGGTTTGTCTTATTAAATTATTATTAATTATATTATTATTATGTCAAAAAATTTTATAAATAATAATCTAAATAAAAGTTTAATGTAAGAAATTAATAAATAATCAAATAAAAACGCTTTTTGTTCATGTTTCGTGTCTTATACTTATCGATTAAATAAATCATTTATGCACTAAATCATCATCAGAGCTCGCGAATCTGGTACGTAGCGGATTCGAACAGGAGGTTTATATAAATTAATTAATGTGAACATGATCTAAGGATCTGAGAGCTCTTAGACCCGTTCCGAATCTAAATATTACCCGACGAAAGAAGAATAAACAATTTATAGACAGATCGATGGTGAGATATACTGATACATAATCATTAAACATCTGAAACTCTTTTCCGAACCTTTTAGAAAAATATATCTATGAGATAAATTAAAGCCCCTCCACTCTCCTCCACTTTTTTACACTATTCCTGCTCTCCCATCTTTTCTTAATTCAGTGCATCAGTTACTGGTCAATATATACAAATACGTTATTCACCGACCTTTCCAAAACGGAAACGATTTAATGCTTTGGCAGCCTACTATGGGAATGCTCCATTTTCATCGAAGCTACAACCATCATAGTATTGCATAAAATAATCCAAAAAGAATAATTGGGCGGCTATCGAACACCGATGTCCAAGTATTTCTCTAATTAATGAAATCCTAATCTTATGGTGGAAAATATAAAAAATTGATCGATAAACATCTTATTATAATGTTCGAAAACTTGAACGATGAAAAAACCACCCCATTTGGATGGAAAGAGAAGAGCAACAGGTATTATTTAAAAAAAAAATATCATATTTGATGATTAGATGCAACGCTCAACGCAAAAGCTTTTAGAAAACTGAGAATGAGGTTGGAAACTGAAACGTACCAAACTACTGTAAATAAAACTGGATTTCAAGAAATTATTCACAAGCACAAAAAAAAAAAAAAAACAAGGAGGTAGAAAATTGTGGCGTATCAGAATATACTCTATTCACATACGATTGATTTGTCAGAGAGTATAAAGTGCCCTCGTGCATAAAATAAAATAATAAATATGAAAATCAAACAGTCGAACTTATGTTACAAACGTGTTGTTCCCTCTTAGATGGCGATCTGGCAGAATTAATATTATCAAAAGCTTTGAAAGATAATGAGTTTATCTTCGTTCTACACCTAAAACAGAATATTGACTTTCTGGGAAAGAGGCAAATATGATTAATATATACGCGTATGTACATAACTATTCATAAACTGGTCAATCAATATATCAGGATATGAAAGTTATGATGGGCGGGACATATGGCTGGTTGCAATCTATTTGGAAGTCTCTACGCAATAAATGCCTCAATAGTAGGCAAAAGATCACTTAGCAGGCCTAAAAGCGGATGTATAGATCAAATCAACAAAGACACAATAGAGCTGCATGCAGAACTGGAAAGAAATAGCACAAGATAGGCAGAGATAAAATAGGCTTGTTAAGGCTGCAAAGATTTACAATGCCAACAGAAAAAAAAACGACATATTTTTATACTAGGTACAATTATGATGTATAAACATTGAAAACCTTTATTTTTTCTGGATTTTGCTCTCATAACGTTTTTTATGTTATTTTTTTTTTTTAATTCCTTGTTTAATAGTCCTTTATTAACAATTATATAAGCGGTTATATTAATTAATCAGAACATAAATATGAGAGTAAGGTGGTTTATACTTCCGTATTATCATTTTAAGACAAATGTTTGAAATTTATATTAGCTTGGCTGTGTATACACGTCTCTGTCGACTTGAGGA